TAAAATTATCAATCGGGACGGACCAAGTCACGATCCCCAATAGTAAACGACTCCACGCTCATCATCAGCGCGTGTCTCACCTCAATATAGCACTACAATGTGCAATCCGGGGTTTCATACCCTTAGGACATCATTTACAATCATTACTCACCTCGAACCGACTACAACTGTAGCTCGCAACACTTTACCCCTCGAATCGGCCTCCACGCGCGTTGAATCTATCTAAAATCAGAACGAATACATCACAATATGCTAAGGGAGCAAAACCCAAGCGAAAACAATCGAAAAATATCAAAAATCCCGAAATTAGCAAAACCCGAGCCCCGAGCCCACTTCTCGAAATTCAGAAATTTTTACAGCATTAGATTCCTTATCACCCCACGAGTTATATATATAAAAAGTTCTCAATTCCGACCTCAAATGGTCCTTCATATCCCAATTCAAAAGTTCAAAATCTCAAGCCCTAGTTCTTCCATTTTTAGCTTAGTTCCATGAAATTCTAGGTGTATTTCACAATAATAATCGAGTATTGAGTTCAAAAATCTTACCTCTAGGTGTTCCCCTTGATTCCCTCTTCAATTTCCTTCAACAAGCTCTCAAAATGATCAACAATGGAGTAAATGAGCTTCAAAATAGCGGATGAAACGAATTAAAACATTTTGCCCAGGGGTTTTTCGCATCTGCGAACAAAAGCCCGCTTCTGCGGTACCGCATTTGCGGTCTAGCTTCCGCTTTTGCGGAAATCACTTAAGGGACCATATTCCACATCTCCGGTCCACGAGCCGCATTTGTGACTCTACAGGTGCGATCCATATGCCGCATCTGCGGTCCCTGACTACTCTTCCCAATTCCGCTTCTGCGGCTCATCTTCTGCATGTGCGGCACCGCACCTGCGGTCCCCAATCCGCAGGTGCAGAAATACCAGAAGTAGCAATCTTTTGAAATCTCTTAAGTCCAAAATCTTCCTGTTAACCATCCGAAGTCACCCCGAGGCCCCTGGGACCTCAACCAAAAGCACCGACATGACCCAATACCTTATTCGAACTTCTTCCAATCATCAAAACTCCTCAAACAACATCAAACTACCCAAAATTCATCGAATTCAAGCCTAATTTTTTGAGAAATATTCTGAAATGTGTTTTTGATCAAAAACCCGCCTAAACTACGTCTGAATGACCTGAAATTTTGCACACACATCCCCAATGACATAACGAAGCTATTGCAACTCTCGTAATTCCATCCCGACCCTTATATCAAAATCTCACCTATTAACCGGAAATCGACAAAATATCAATTTCGCCAATTCAAGCCTAATTCTACTCCGAACCTCTAAAACCAATTCCGATCACGCTCCTAAGCAATCAATCATCTCCCGAAGCTAAACGAACCATCAGAACTCACATGTGAGCCCTCTAACATATAAGTCAACATCCGATTGACTTTTCCAACTTGAACCTTCTCAAAAGAGACTAAGTGTCATTTCTTACCAAATCCACTCCGAACGCAACCTACTCAACTCGATCATATAAAATACGGATAACGAAGCATAATAAAGCAGAAATGGAGAAAACATAGCGGTAACTCATGAGACGACTGGTCGGGTCATCACAGAGGGCATAAGACCTCTTAGGCAACCCTCGAATTTTAAAGTCCACGACCATACCCACTCGGGGGCTATTATCTTAGGTAAGCCTGGATAACTCGGGAAAGCAAGCTCACTGGGATACACCCGAACTCAAAGGCTATGGACAATTCAACACGATTCGGACATGTCTGAAATTTGTAACAAAAATAGGCCTTCGGAAAAAAAAATCTTTCACAACCGGTTCTAAAGGCTAACCTCGGCAAAATCTTAAACTTAAGATATTTTCGTGAATAAACTTCGGTAACATCAAACTGAGATAACACCTTAACTCAAGAAGGTAACAAAAGCAAAGTTTTGTTCGAACCCTCGAACAAAACCTCACTATCTCATGCTAATGCATTACAACCTTTGTGAACACGAATGATAAAACAAAGGAAAAGATTGTGAAAGCGGAAAAGGGTAGAAAGCCTTGTATATTATTTAAATGATCATATTACAAAGGCCAGATCAGCCAAATAAAAAATTTAAAAAGGCTTAAGGGCTACTTTCACTTCGAGTTCGAGAAATTATTCTCACTTGACTATAAAGCGTAAGGGATACCTTATTTTGAGCTCAAACAGGTCCTCACTCGACCATTAAGCTTAAGGACTACATAAAATCAATAATCGTTTGAGGTCCATCAATATAAAATGGCTGAGGGCAAGGCTTATTATCGGTCGTCACCATCCCAAACCTTGGATCCTTGAACACAACTTCATAATCTTATGTTATGGCATTTTGACCTTTACATGAAATAACAAAAAAGACAACAGATTCAGAAGCCATGGAAGCGGAAAAGTTTCATATATTCGTCATAATCTTTTTACAAAGGCTATATGTCATGATTAAGAGTTCTTTACAAGGGCCAATCGACCTCAAAATAAAAGCGGAAAATTACAAAGAGCATAAAGCCTAAACAACACAATCCTTATCGAAAGAAGTATTTTCATCCTCAGAGTCATCGCCATCACCAGATTTGCTTAAGTTCTCGGAGTCTTCCTTGGGAAAATCCAGATTCCAAGCCTTTGTTTCCTCTGCCCTAGAAATCTCGGTTTCAGCAGATATATCGAAGCTTTGATCACGGGCCCCCTCAAGGGCCTCCTTTAGATCTTGCCACCTTGCATCATCCATCATATTGTTGGCCTATGCTAGGGTGGCTTCAACATCATCCTTGTATTGGGTCGCATTAGCCTGAGCCATAATATTGGCCCCGACCACATATGGCCACCTCGAGCTATTTGGCCAAGTTGGCTAAATTGGAATGAAGCTCCTCGACCTTCTTTGCCTGAACCAAGGCATTCTCCCTTGCATCCCGAAGTTGAGACTCGGCCAACTCCAGCTCTGCTTTGATGACCTCTTTTTGTGAAGATAAGATGTCCCTACACCCTTTGAACTTTTTAGCCTAGGCTCGTACTTAATCTATTTGCCTTTGAAGGCCCTTGATCTATTCGAGCCTCTGTCGAACTTGCAGAATCGGATCATTTGTTGTTATCTCCAACTCATCTTCACTATCATGAAGCACTCGAAATACCTGCTCGGCCATCTCAGCATGCTCATCTCGAACCGTCACCAAATATGTCTAAAGCTTCTCACTAAGAAGCTTGTAGGTATCACATTTCTTAGTGAGGCCCTGAACCTTAGCCTTGCACTCCTCTCGGATTCGAAGGAAGGCCTCGTGATGCAGCACCAAAGCCTACAATCAAGGAAGAAAGTGCTAGTACCATCTACAATTCAAAGTTTTAAAAGGAATATAATAGAATGGTCCTCAAACTTACCCGATTCAGAGCATGTTGGGCCTCATTAAACAAGCAAGCAACTTCCACTTCATCCATCTTGGCGTAGTCCTCTTCAGTGACCAAGCATCGAAGATAGCTAGCCACACCTACAGGGATAAAAAAATTCGAGCATCCTCTAGGACCGAGATGATAAGTGACCTCTTATGCCTAGGATTGACGCTGAGGGCCATAAATTGATTGATCAGTTTAAAGCTCGAGGAAACCTCACTCGAGCCCTTCCTCGGTACATCCAAGTTACCCAGACTGGTGACATTTTCCATGGACACGGAAAATAGCCACGGAAAAGGTCTTCTGCTTCATGGACACCTTCATTATGGCAAGTCTACATCGGTAGAGCGTCCATGATCGTCGAACTAGAGAACAAAGGCAGCGAGTGGGAATCTCCAATCTTATACTTCTGAAGCACATGCGGTTCTATTTCTTTCCCTCCTTGCAAGTTTTTAATTATTCCTATTAGCACTAATATTTTTAGATGATAAGCAATAAGCCAACTCGATTCGGATAATAACTACATAGGCCCTTGGAAAATATAAATGAACCACCATATTTTCTATCCAAGGCCAAAATTTCATATGAAAAAAGGTTCCAGCACAGTCTTCATCTAGCAATCCTTCCCCTAACCCCTTTGTTTTCTTTACAGAGTGTAGGACTAAGGAGAAGAGCTGGACAAGCCATGTATCCTATTACACCAGTGTACAAGACTTTTCCTAAAGCTCAAACACTGCGTTGACTGACACCCAGTATCGAGTTCTAACATGAATGTGAGCACGCGATTTTTGCCCCACATAGGTTACTCCTACAGAATTCCAATAATAGGTTTCTTCTTTTAATTAATTGTTATTTTAGGGATTTTGTAGGATTTTTATTTAACTATTTGCATTTTTGTGCATGTTTAAGTTTTATTTAAATTATGAAAAATACCAAAAAAATATCATGCATTGCATTTAGGATTTGTTTTTGCATTTTTAGAATTAATTAGTAATTATTTGCTTTATAAAAGTTGAAAATCGCAAAAAATAGTTCATTTTTACATTTTTATCTTTTAACTTTTAGTTTATTGATTTTTCTTTTTAATCTAGAGTTAAGTATTGCTTATAATTTTTATAATTAATTAGTTTAATCTAACATTCTAGGTAATTTAGGAATTTTTAATTATTAGGCTTGTTTTTAATTAAAAAAAAGAAGAAGAAGAAAAGAAAAGGGGTTTAGAATTAAAAGAAATTGGGAAAAGGGGTCATTTTCAGAATTGGGCCATTATTCTTCTTACCCAGTTCGGCCCAAAAGTCCCCCTCCCCATACAAATTAATTGCAGCCCAAAAAGACCCATTCTCCCACGGTACGTCCCAGCCCAAACCGGGCTGACCCACCAAATGACCCGCCTGTTTTGCCCTAAGTATAAAAACCCACTTATAACATTTCCCCCAATTCCCAAACCCTNATACAAACTAATTGCAGCCCAAAAAAAACCCCTTCTCCCATGGTACGCCCCAGCCCAAACCGGGCTGACCCACCAAATGACCCGCCCGTTTTGCCTTAAGTATAAAAACCCACTTATAACATTTTCCCCAATTCCCAAACCCTAGACCTAATAACAGAAGCGACGCCCCCCTCTACTGTCCTTCTTTTTCGCTTGAAACTCGCCTCAACTCGCCTGAGTGTTGAATGAGTTCACTCATTGGTCCCCCCTCCATGTCACCTTATCCTCAACGGATTTGTCAGAGGAGTACGAATTTTCTCTCCAGAATTGCACGATTCTCGTACAGAAGGACAATTGGTGGACGAATGGGAGCCGTGGATAGATGTAAATCGATTCACGCCCTCCATTTTTCCCAAAATTGTTCAAAAATTTGAAGATTTTCGGATATTTTGAGCAGAAGATTCGAGAATTTTCGAGGGTTATATATAGGAGGTAAGTTTTCTTTTTCAAGGTTTTGAGGAAAATAGAGAGAAAAATATAAAGAGAAAATCGGGAAAAATCTTCAGAGCCTAGTCGAAATTTCTAGGGTTTTAGCGACCGTTCTGCTTCAAGTTTTTTTTTTGAGTCTATTTCTCTGTTTTCAAAAGAAGATAAAAAAGATGGCTTGAGTTTTTGGCCCGCATTTGAGTTCATATTACCAAAAAAAAAATCCAGAAGCAAAACTTTCTAGCCTTATTTCGTTTTTCTTGATTTCTTGGTTCTAAAAGAAGGTTTTGGATCGAATTTCGAGTTTAAGTTTGTGGTTGGGTTCCGAAATTTTGTTATTTTGGATTTTCTGTCCAATTTTTGGTCGAGATTCGGATTTGCTCGGTTGGTCTGTGGAGTTGCTGTTTTTGTTGCTGAATCTCTCCTCCCATTTCAGAGCTTTCTTTTGATATTTTTCAGTTATTTTGCCAATAGGTATGTTCTCCTTAAAATACCTTCAGAACTTTTTTTTGGATGTGTAATTATGGATTTTGTTTTAGCCTATTCACTTGTAATTACTTGAATATGGGATTGTCTTTTAGTTCGTTTCTGTTGTTGCTATCAAAACTTATTGGGTTTGATTTATTTTCAGCATTGAACAGAGTGTTTGTAGCTTGATAAAAATGAGATTTTTGTTGGAACTTAGATATCTTTGTTTTGCTGGTGTTAATCTTTTGGTCTTGTTCTAGATAGCGTGAAAATGTTTGATTTGTTTCCCTTACTCTGTTGAATTTGGGTCATACGTGGTAAGTTTCAAACTAAGGTCAACTATTCTATTTTGATTCTTGTTCAAAGCTGTACGCCATTTAAAGCTTACTAAGAAATATTTATATAGTTGAAATCATGGTCAAAACATCAGTCTCTCTTTTTGGATCCACAAGTTCAAGCAAATGACCATGGGAGCAGTAAAAGAGTTAATTTGTTGAAAAAAGGTGAATTAATAAGGTTTGGTTAAATGGGTTAAAATTCCATGCTTTGAACATTACTAGGCTTGATTTTCTTTCTTAGCTTTTGTTTACCTTTTATTATACTCTGTTCTTTTTGTTTCTCTTAAAATATTCGTTCTTGTCGTATTCTTGTGTTAAGCTAAGTGTTAAGGACAGAAATAAAAGAATTGGGTTTTAACTTTAAAAGGAAAAAACGTTGGACAGGGAATGTCGTTTTCTTATGAATGGATGAGATGCTTGAGGATTACTCTGTTTTCTGGAAGCCTTCAAATGGAGTGAATGTAGGCCAATTGAATGGCACTTGCTGAAACTCCAAGTTTGAAAAGATAGAATTTATTTGTACAATTTTACTTTTAAAGTTGGGGTCTATGCAATTCATTATGGTATTCCGAAAGATTTGTACATAATGTTATGTTAACATAATTCATGATATTACTGATTAAGAGACAATTTTATAGACATTTGGTTGAACCTTTACTTGTTTGAATATTGGTCAAGCCATGGACAATAATTTACCTTTTGTCTCTTCCGTATGAATTCATGGACTCTTGCTTTAGGCATTTACAAAGTCAAGAATGTGAAAGTCATCCTGTTATTTTGCTTTCCATTCTCCTTGCTGGAAATTCAAAACACCTTTATACTTATGAAAGTGCAATTCGTTAATTTAGAATAAGCTTTACTGCATCATTGGTTCAAGCGAGCTTTATATTAAGCTTAATCTCTGCGCATTTATCCACGGGTCATTTCTATGAATTTCTGAGCTTGTCACATGATCCCAAATTAGCATTAGAATAACAACTCATGAATACTCGTAGTTTGCTTTAGGCTCGATTTAGACTAGTATTGTAATCATGTATACGTTCGCGTAACATAATTGCAAATTTAATTCTTAAAAAACTCGAGGTATGCATTAGCGCAACTTCAACGAAATTTTCTTAGTAAATAAATAAAGCGTTATTAATTGTGGACACGTTCGCGTGACATGGTTTTTGACGCGCCAAAAGTAAAGAGTATACGTACATGTAACTCAATTCTTTAATTACGAATAAATCAAGTTTTTTTACAAGCGGTAAAATATAATTGCACATAGATCTTAAAAATGAGTAGTTAAACAATTAAGACAAATATAAATTTCTAAGCGACCGTGCTAGAACCACGGAATCTGGGAATGCCTAACACCTTCTCCCAGGTTAACAGAATTCCTTACCTAGAATTTCTAGTTCACAGACTCTTTAAAAATAAAACTTCCTCGATTTGGGATTTAAAATAAACCGGTGACTTGGGACACCAAATAATTTATTCCAAGTGGAGAATCTGAATAATGTCACTTAAATTGGAAAAACTCCCTTATATACCCTCGGGGTGTGTAAAAAAAAGGAGGTGTGACAGCTCTGGCGACTCTGCTGGGGATCGAACCCAGAATCTCTGGTTCAGGGTTCAAGAATTCGAGCCTGTTAATGCAATTTTTATTTGGCTTTATTATTGATATTACTGTATTTTGTGGACTTAATGTGCTAATTGCCATTTACCGCTTTGATATTACTTGAACTATATTTAAATGTCTTCTTAAAAAGAAAGAAAGGAAAATGTATTTCAAAACGAGTGAGTCAAATATCATATTTTTATAACAAAACTGCCCGAACTACGCAGGTTTGATTCTCACCGGATGTGGGATACGTAGGCAACTCACATAAGGTTCGGCCTCATTTTACCAAATAATAAAATAAAAAGGTATTTTAGGGCTTTGGTCAAAACAATATGTCGACCCGGCTTCGGTTGTATTTAAGTCATTTCTCCGCGGAATAGCTTTAGATTACATTCCAATTGTCGAAAGGCTATTTTCGAGAGGAACAGGCAAAAGGTGTCTTTTCCAATAAAATACCTAGCCCCCGGCCTCAAAATTCGTTTGGAATTGTGAAGGGGGCACGTTTGCAAAAACGACCATTTCTTGCTGACATAGAAATAAAAGGGGGCCTTGTCCATTGATATTTTCTTAGGAAAAAAACTTTTTTTGCAAAGAAAGTCCACAAGAGTCAACCCTAACCTTGACCCTCCACAGGTACAAATGAATACCGTCAAAGAATCGTCGCAAATTGTCATAGAAAGGGCTCGGATGCAGGTACGTAAGTGGTGGGGTGATTTAGATGAAGATGGCCATGTTTGGGTAAAAGAGAAGTTGGGTCCCTTGGTAGACATCATGCACATCAAGCCACGAGAGGATTTAATTAAGGCTTTGGTAACCTTTTGGGATCCCGTTTCTCGGATTTTGAGCTCACACCCACTCTGGAAGAAATAACTGGGTATATTGATTTCGGCCAAGAGTTACGAAAGCAGTAGCTCATATTCCCCAGGGCTCCCTCAGTGCACAAATTCTTCGATCTTTTGAAAATTAGCAAATAAATGAGCAAGGACTATGTGATCAAAGGGAGTTGTGTGTTCTACTTCTTTTATTTCATGTTTGGACACTCGGCCGGGTTTGAAACACATGAGAAGGGGTTGAGTAACAAACAGGACAAGAGCATATGGCAAATTCATCGACGGTTTGCTTTCATCGTGGCATTTCTGGGAATCATGTTATTTCCGAATTCTGGGGTACAATAGACCTTTGTATGGCCAGAATCGCACAGGTCCTCATCAACAAAAAAGATCACACACTTGTCCCATTAGTGCTGGCGGACATTTATCGGGCATTAACCATGTGCAAATCTGGGGGTCAATTTTTCGAAGGCTGCAATATTCTTCTTCAGATGTGGATGATTGAACACCTTCGTCGTCATCCTAAGTTCATGATATATGCTTCAGACGGGAACAATTTCATCAAAAAGTATGAGGAAAGGGTGGAAGATTACAAACCACCGGTAGGGTTTGAAGCATGGGTTTCCTATTTGAGAAAATTGAGAGCAGATCAAATTGAATGGACCATAGGATGGCTCCCAAAAACAGAAATCATCTACATTACCCTTTCAAAGGGATACTTGATGATGATGGGAGCGAGAAGTATACAACCATATGTACCACAAAGAGTTCTGAGACAACTGGGAAGATATCAGGTGATACCCGAAGAGGCAGACCTAAGCACTCAAGTCATTGAACTACACCCAGAAGCAACGATACCCGAGACTTTAGTTCAAAGAGACTAGAATTGTTGTCGGTATCTAAAAAGTAACACCCAAGTGCCAGACCTAGCTAAGGGCGAAGTTGATCCCAAATATGCTGCTTGGTTTGAAAGGAGTTTTTATGTGTACAATGAGCCGGAGCCTGAGCCCAAACCTGTGAGGCCCGCCAAAAGGCCCCATGTTCAGGCTTTTTGATGACAAAATTCAGGAAAGTTTAGCCTGGGGGGAAAAGGAAAAGGAATATCAGGCCATCATCCATGATCTGCGAGAAGAGTTGAGAAATGTCACCTTCAACAATGATTTACAGGCACAAGAGGCCGAAGGTGAGAGGAGAAGATTGGTTCGAGAAAATGAAGCTCTCAGGGCCCAGGTTCGACAACTGAAAATAGCAGCCGAGAATCCGGGCCGAAGCAGGAAAGATGAAAGGCTCATTTATAACCTTACTCAAAAGGTGCGTGACTATGAAGATGACCTGCAGAAAGATGACTCTGAACTAGCAAAAGCACGAACGAGGTTAGCTAAAAATGCCGAAGGGCGTGCAGCTTTCATTCAATAGATGAAAGAAAGATATGAAAAGAGGTCAGAGGTTGGGAAAAGGCGATTGGCAACCTCGAAGGTGAAATGGCTAAACAAGCCAAAAATTTTAAGGCCAAGAGAGAACATTGTTACACCTTAATGGCACGGTTGGAAGAGGACTTACAGCGCTTGTAAGAGCAAAATCACGCTGCCACTCAGGTTTTAGAGGCTAGATCCCGTCAGATTGGTCGTTTGTTGCAAGAGAAGGGCATCATAAGAGAGAGGGTTCGAAGGATTGCTGACTACATCACCATGAAATGCAGTGCGTGTGAGGACATGACAAGATCCATGTTTTTCGCCACTGTAATGATCTTCGTCCGTCAGATAATGGAAGAACTCTATCGGCTCTAAGATGACATGGCAAGTAGGCCCGCTGCAAGACCGGTTGGTGTTCCTAGGGCAGGGTTGAAGGCGCTAATATTGTCTTGATTGTATTTTCTTCCTTTTTCCGAGTCTGCATTTTCATATTTCGAGTTTGTTTTAAGTTCCTAGAAAAGGCATGTCCTGAGTCTTAAAGTCCTAGAAAAGGTGTGTTTTGAGTTTTTTGTAATTCAGTAAAGTTGTATTAATGAAAAATTGAAAAAAAACCACAAAAATTGTTCTTTTATTTTTTTCATTTACTTCTTGAACTATGTTATGATCTAATTCGCGCGGCGTCGTGATACGTAGGCAATCCTCATCGGACCCGGTCATGTTTTTGTAAACAATTTAAATAAAAGAGGGAAAAACCATAAGAAAAACCAAAAAGAAAGAAAATAGAGTCAAAGAAAAATCAAAACAAGAAAAAGGAGAGAAAGGAAAGAGAAGAGAGGAAAATAAGAAATAACCGATGAGGCAAGAAGAGAAAATTGGGGAAAATAAGCAAAACTGGGATGAAACATGCAACTGTTGCGAAACATGTAGAAACACGTTTAACTGTATAGGTGCATCACACCCCAACGTGCGATTTCCTATGTGTTATTTGTTTCAAAATAACCAGTTGGTTGTCTACTGTCAAGTCCAGGTTCTATAGTAAGGTGTTTGGTTTTGTGGTAGTCTGGCTTCGCATCCATACTTCACGAGGTCGAAAGGTAGCATTGAAATTTCTTCAGAAATCACTCTTCCAACAGTTCCTATCACAGATGAAAGTCCGATCTAGGGCATCCCGACATCGGAATCGGCGGTTGACGAGGAAAACAGGTTACTGCGTCTCCGTATGATAGAAATGTGCGACGCCTGGTCAAACGAAAGAGAGCCACCAAGTGTAATCCTCGGATTTCCCGAGCTTTTTCCTAGGGTAGGTGGAACCTCCAATATCCCGATCAGTCACCCCAATACCCCACTCGGATATCCTACCATCTCGGCCCACTTTGTTGGAACACCTTCTGAGGTTCGCCCCCAGGTGTTAGCTTCAGGAGCGGCTTCAAATATTTTCACTGCTCCGCCATGCTCAGCTACTACACAACCTACGCTGCCCAGGCCCAGCCTTGATCCATCATCCTTCACCTTCCAAACACCATCTTTCCCACTGGAGCCTGCACAGTTTCCCACTTATACTTACTCTCAACCACCCCGATATGAGTTCTCTGCAGGGCAAGAAAAGATCACCAAAACTCCTGAGCAAGAAACGATTGCGAGAAAGATGAGGAGTATGGAACAGAGTCTCAAAAGCATACAAGGCTTGAGTGGACAAAAATGTTTATCCTATGATGACTTATGTATGTTCCCTCATGTGCATCTACCATTGGGATTCAAAACCCCAAAATTTGAGAAGTATGATGGGCACGATGATCCTATTGTTCATCTCAAGAGATATTGCAACCAGCTGCTCTAGAGCCGGTGGAAAGGAAGAACTCCTCATGGCCTATTTCGGAGAAAGTCTTGTTGGCAT